GACTAACCAATACCATACGCGTGTCATACGTCTTACGTATTTATTCTTACCGCCGTTTATACCTCAGCTATAACATTAGTCCAACCCGCCCGCCCACAAAACATGGCTATACCTCATGCATGATACGTTTACGTAATTAAGTCACTTTACATGTATATATATATATATATATATATATATATTCCAATTACTATTAAAATGTATATATTGACACGCTTTATTCTAATTAAGAGATACAAAGTAATCATTCCGATTACAAGGGATGATTTCCGTATCGTCATTTTTTGTCACTACCTCAGGCAGGTAAAAAGTCAGATTTATAAAAGAAAGAATTATATTGATCCATACATCTTTCAAAAAGTTATAGCATTTTAAAATTAAAAAAACCCAGCACAGGGGGGTCGCGGCACAGTGGTGACGTAGCATAGTTGGATCAAGTATAATGATATCTGATAGTGATTAAAATCACTGTTAAAATAAAACGCTTCGATGCAAATCTTTAGATAGTGTTTAATTTTAAAAAATTGATGTATTATTCCAAAAGCTACATGATCTGCATGTTCCTTATTAATATCCTGATTAAGATAAAGTATGTCGAATGAAAAAGGGATTATTAAAAAATATTATTTCTCATAAAAAAATTGTGTTGATTCATACACTTTTCAATGAATTATAGCAGTATAAAGTTAAAAATACAAAAAATAAAATCGAGAATTTTCACACAAAAATAGCATTTGGTAGCTATTATCACCACGAAGATAAAATAAAGTCCGAAATTTTTTTTTTTCATGATAAAGTATATTACATAAGCTTAAATTTAAGATATATATAAAAGTGTCAGACTTTCCGGAACATTTTCAAAAGTTAAGTTGAAAAAGTTAATTTTTTTGTGAAAAAATTGTCATTTTAAATCCTCCCCTGTGGGTAGGTTAAGTGTCAGATTTACAAAAAAATATACCAAATAATAGATAAAAACATCAAGCATCTATTTAAAAAAAAAATTTACTTATCCATACATTTTCCAAAAAGTTATAGCATTATTAAGATAAAAATATAAAAAAGAATNGTTATAGCATTATAAAGTTAAAAATATAAAAAAGAATTTTTTTACAAAAATTGTATTTTTTTTATTAAGTTTGATGTCTGTTTTCACCGTGAAGATAAAATAAAGTCCGAAATTTTTTTTAATATTAAAGTATATTACATAAGCTTTAATTTAAGATATATATAAAAGTGTCAGACCTTCCGGAACATTTTTAAAAGTTAAGTTGAAAAAGTTGTCATTTTAAATTCCCTTTTGTGGGCTGGTTAAGGGTTAAATTTATGAAAAAAATATACCAAATGAAAGGTAATGATATTGTGCATCTATATAAAAATAAATTATATTGATATGTTCCTTTTTGAAAAAGTTATGACACTTTTAAGTAAAAAAAATTGAAAAAATTTCGAAAATTAGCGATTTTTAAATTTGTAATTTTTTTGGATGTTTCCCCCATTTACAGGGAACGAGGGAATTTTTTTCAATTTTTGAGGGTAATGTCTTCGACTAGATACTATTTGTGATCTTTTGACGTATCATTGAAGGAAATCGGTTCGGTGAGAGCTGAGAAAAAGTGGTAACAGACACAAAAAAAAAACACAACTTAGTAAAACCAAAACCTTCTCAGCTTCGCATCGAAGCTAAAAACTAAAAATACGCTTTTAAAGCACATCGAACTAAAAAGTTAAAAATAATTTTTAAAATTAACTTAAAATAATAATGAACGAAAAATACTAGTATTATTGTGAAAAAAATCGTCGGGCGCTTAATATACGAATAATATGACATAAAGCACCCACTAAAAACTGTCATAACTTTTTAAAAAATGAACATATTAATATAATTAATTTTTTTATAAATGTATGATATCTTTACCTATCATTTGGTATATTTTTGTCCTAAATTTAACCCTTTTTCATTTTAAATCCCCTCCTGTGAGTGATTTAAAATGACAATTTTTTCACAAAAAATTTACTTTTACGCTTAACTTTTGAAAGTGTTCAGGAAGGTTTGACACTTTTATATACAGGGTGATTTTTTTATCATAACCCACTCAATTACTTGCAGAATAATAATAATTTAAACATTTTTTTTTATTATTATCTTTAGTTACATATTATTCTTGAATTTTTAACTATGTAATACTTTTTAAGTTCATCCCTTATGCCTTGGATGTGGGTCAACTTTGTTTTTTTAAATGGTAACACATATTTTTCATTTAATAAAATGTTTGAGTTTTTAATTTAATAGTAAATGGCATTTGAATTTTTAAAAAAACTTTATTAGCTTATTAGATATAAACATTTAAAGTTTCAACATTTTGAGTTAAAATACATGTATAATACACATGGGATTGTAAATACAGGTAGCTAATTGGATTTTAGGACATTGCTGTCTCAGTCACGGATTGTTTATTATCAATTATGATTATCAATAGATATACTTTCTGTATTGTCAGTTAGTGTATTTATAAACTCATAACAATGTGCCTTACTACAATTGATAATAATAATGCTGTGTACCTGCTAATATCGATGTTATAAAAAACCAATTAACTACCTATATTTGTAATCCCTTGTGTATTATACCTGTATATTAATTCAAAAATTTGAAACTTTAAATGATTATATCTAATAAACGAATTAAGTTATATTAAAAATTCAAATGCCATTTACTATTAAATTAAAAACTCAAACATTTTATTAAATTAAAAATATGTGTTACCATTTAAAAAAACAAAGTTGACCCCCTTACAAGGCATAAGGGATGAACTTAAAAAGTATTACATAGTTAAAAATTCAAGAATAATGTGTAACTAAAGATAATGAAAAAAGAAAATGTTTAAATTATTATTATTCTGCAAGTAATTGAGTGGGTTATGATAAAAAAATCACTCTGTATATCTTAAATTAAAGGTAATGTAATGTACTTTATTATGAAAAAAAAAATTTGACCTCTGGACTTGTCTTCGTGGTGAAAATGGCTTCCAAATGCTATTTTTGTGTGAAAATTCTCGATTTTATATTTTGCATTTTTAACTTTATAATGCTATAACTTATTAATAAGTGTATGGATCAACACAATTTTTTTACGAGAAATAATATTTTTTAATAATCCCTCTTTCATTCAACATACCTTAATCAAGGTATTAATAAGGAACTAGCAGATCATGTAGCGTTTGGAATAATCCACCAATTTTTTTAAATTAAACACTATCTAAAGATTTGCATCGAAGCTTTATTTTTTTTTATAGTAATTTTAATCACTGTCAGATATTATTATACTTGATCCAACTATTTTATGTCACCACTATACCACGACCCCCCTGTGTTGGGTTTTTTTTTATAAATCGGACCATTATAAATATATAAATATATATATATATATATTCATATATTACACTTACAAATCATAAAACTTGTAATCAGAATATAAATAAGGAAATTGGAGATCATGTTGCTTTTGGAATAATCTACCAATTTTTTTAAATTAAGCACTGTCTACAAATTTGCATTGAAGCGTTTTTTATGATAGTGATTTTAATCACTGTCAGATTGTCAGATAGTTGTGTCTATACTGGACACAACTATGCCAAGTCCTCACTGTGCTGAGTTTTGTAATATTGTCTTGTTTAATTATAATTATATTAGATTTAAATGTACTCAAAAGAGATTTTAATTGAAAAACTGTAATATAATACCCATCATAAAATTAAATATAAGGTCATTTATTTTCTAATCGATGTTTGTTCAATAATCTTTTCACGAATTCAACAGATATTGACTAAACTTCAAAAGTTATTTGTTTTTAATTTAATATTCATTATAATAGCAGATAATTTTACTATTTTAGTGCAATTTTTCAGTAATGGATATTTTGTAGTATCTGTATTGTAACGGTTTCGGCCAATGCTTGGCACAAGGCCGACGAACCAGGGCGAATCAGTATTAGAGGTTTAGGTGCCAGTACTCCGCCGGTATTCGATCAGCAATGGCGTTACAACGGCAGCCAGTACTTACAGTCAGTACTGCCTTAGTACTTCAACAACATAACAACCAGTACTACGTCAGTATGGGCTAGCCAGCTGTCAAATGCTAGAACTATCGCAGTAATGCGTCCTTAGTTAATACTGGCGTTGTACAAAAGTTTCTGCTTGTGAGTAGTCATTTTCACCATGAAAGCAAAATAAAGTTCGATATTTTTTTTTTCATATTAAAGTACATTGCATAAGAATTAATTTAGGTTATATAAAAAACTATCAGCATTTCCGGAACATTTTCAAAAGTTAATTTTTAGTGGAAAAGTTTTCATTTCGAATCCCCAGTGTAAAATAAAAATTGTTTTACACTGAGGGCAGGTGAAGGGTCAGATTTACAAAAAAATATATACCAAATGATAGGTAAATACATAATTTATCTATAAAAAAAAATTGTTTCTATTCATTTATTTTTCAAAAAGTTATGGTAATTTTAAATCTAAATAATTGAAAAAATTTCCGATTTTTAAATTTGTAATCTTTTGGAGATTTTCCCCCCTATACGGGAAACGAGGAAAAAATTTTCAATTTTTGAGGCTTATATCTTCGACTAAAAGATATAGGAGATAGATTCAGTGACAGCTGAGAAAAGGTGGCAACACACATAAAAAAATATATATACATAAATATAAAAAAACATATCTTAGTAAAATTAATAACATCGAAGCTAAAATATTTAATCGTTTATAAAACAAGATATAAATAGTACTTAATAAAATCAAACAACTTTTATTGAAAAATAGTATTTTATCAACATTAATTTATATAATGGCATCTATTTTAACACTAGGATTATTGTAAAAATCTTTTTTATGAAACATGACTTAACAAAATTTAATTTTTTTTATGAATTATCTAAACGGATAGTTTATGTATACAACTGTTCTAAAAAATTATTCTAGTATATATATATATATATTTTAATTTATTATAATTGCTTCATTTAAGTTTTAGTGGTTAGTTTTGTAAAAAGGAAAAATATTTTACGATGAAGTTTGATTCAATTATCATATTTCTAATTATTGCAACTTATGGTACAACAATATAAAATTTTTTTATATCTATATTGAATATTATACTGTATTACTAGAATCATTATTATTCAGCTTACTCAATAACTTTGTTTTTGTTGAATTGTTTCAGGATCATACTATGTTGTACTACCTTGTAAGTTGGATGATAGTTATTTTTTACAGTTTTGATATTATATCATTTTTATTTGAGTTATGAAAAAAATGAGTATTTAAAATTTTAAATATATTATTAGCTATAATAATATATGAATAGTTATACCGAGAGAAAATTTTATATTATTATACTTAGTTCTCAAAATTTATTACTACGGATTTGTATGAATTTATATATTTTGTTTTAGCCATTTTGAAGGGACATAAGTTTATGCAACTTAGTAATAGGAATATATAGAATGATCGGTTTATCATAAGCCAATCACATACTCGTACAAAATAAATTATTTTGAAATTATTTTTGGTCAATTTTAGTTACATATTTTTCTCGAATTATTAGCTATATAATGCTTTTTAAGTTCTATTTTATACATTGTAATGGTGTTAACTTTATTTTTAAAATGGGAACACCTATGTTGCATTTAATGAAATGTTACAAGCTGTAGTATTTAAGTCTTCTGTTTGTTCAGTGAATATACAGAAGCGTGTTGTATAATTGAATATAAATTTATACTTCTTGCTAAGTATAATTATACTGACTTGCGTCTGTTTTAATGTGGAAGCCTGAATTATTTTTCTTTATTTTTGTATTTTTCCTGTATGTAAATCGAGTAAACAGAAAACGCGACGCATAATATACAAAAATTGAGTCACGAAGATATGACAAAATCAGTAAATTTCTATCCATTTAATAATTTACGTTAATTTATTTTTAGCTTCGATGTGTAGCTGAAAAGGTATTGGTTTTACTAAGTTGTGTTTTTTTTTTTTGTGTCTGTTACCACTTTTTCTCAGCTCTCACCAAACGGATTTCTGTCAAGGATACGTCAAAGATCACAAATCGTATCTAGTCGAAGACATTACCCTTCAAAATTGAAAAAATTTCCCTCGTTCCCCGTAAATGGGGGAAACCTCCAAAAAAATTACAAATTTAAAAATCGCTAATTTTCGAAATTTTTTCAATTTGTTTGGCTAAAAACTGCCGTAACTTTTTCAAAATGGAACATATCAATAAATTTTTTTTTTTTTATAGATGCTTCATGTTTTTACCTATCATTTGGTATATTTTTTTCATAAATTTAACCCTTTATCTACCCACAGGGGGGGTATTTAAAATTACAACTTTTTCACAAAAAATTAACTTTTTCAACTTAACTTTTGAAAATGTTCCAGAAAGTCTGACACTTTTATATATATCTTAAATGAAAGCTAATGTAATATACTTTAATTTGAAAAAAAAAATTTGACCTCTGGACTTGTCTTCACGGCGAAAATGGCTACCGAATGCTATTTTCGTGTGAAAATTCTCGATTTTATTATTTATATTATATTTAACTTTATAATGCTATAACTTATTGAAAAGTTTATGGATCCACACAATTTTTTTATGAGAAATAATATTTTTTAATAAACCCTTTTTCATTCGCACATACTTTATCTTAATCGAGATATTAATAAGGAACTAGCTTTTGGAATAATCCACCAATTTTTTTAAAATTAAACACTATCTAAAGATTTGCATCGAAGCGTTTATTTTTGATAGTGATTTTAATCACTGTCAGATATCATTATACTTGATCCAACTATACTACGGCACCAGTGTGCCACGACCCCCCTGTGTTGGGTTGTTTTTATTAGTTCAAGTAGTGGAGAAGCTATTTTTGAAAAATCTTTTATTAATTGTCTATAGTAACTGCACATGTCTAAAAATCTTCGAACTTGTTTTGGAGTTTTAAATTTTCAAATTCAGTAACAGCTGATATATTTTGAGACAGGGATGTTATTCCGAGCTCTGAAATGTCATGTCCTAGGAGTTCTATATCTTGTGCAAATAGGTTACATTTCGATGTTTTTAATGAAAATGAATAATTATCTAATACTTTGAATACGTTTTCTAAATTTAACAGTGCAGTTTGAAAATCTTTCCCGAAAGTAGCTATATCATCAATGAATATTACTATCGATTTATATAGATATTGGGAGAATGCTTTATTTAGTTCTCTTTGAAAAATTGCACTTAAATTACGAAAACCTTGTGGTAAACGTATAAATGTTAATAGTCCATGAACTATTGTAAAAACTAATTTAGGTTGGTCATGTTGCCTAACCGGAATTTGAATAAGACCTGAGTTTAAATCAAAGGTGCTAAAATCTTTTGATCCTTCTAAACTTCTGAATAAATAAGCAGTTCTAGGGAGGGGGTAATTATCAAACTCTACCATATTATTTAAGTCCTTATAAGATACTACTAGACGGTATGAGCCTTTTTTCTTTTTTTCGAACTAAAAATGCAGGAGAAGCATAACTAGATTTTGTGTGTACTACAATATTAGCTCCCATTAATTTATCTAATTGTGTTTTTAATTCCTCATGCTGTTCAGGTGAAACTCTATGAGGGGAACAAAATTTGGGTTGTTTTGCGTTGGGCTTTAGTATTATATGGCATGGTTTTACCTTAGCTGGGTGTACTTTGCTTAAATTGATAGTGAATAAATGTGTATAATTCTTAATTAGAGTTGTTAGTGTGTTATTTGTTAAATTTGTTATTTAATTTCCAAATGAGTTCAAAGAATTTATTAACGCATAAATTTCACATCGTCCGTCGGAAGGAACATCTTCCCCTAGTTGATATTGTGAAAACACATTCATAAATTTTGATGTAGAAGTATCATTAATAATAGAATTAATGTTTTTCTTAAGATTTTTTATAGAAAATTGCACGTTCGATATAATGTCATTATTTTGTTTAGGTATTATATTGAAAGTATAGGGTAACAAATTAATATATCTTTCGGTTGATTTTGGAATATTTCGAATATCATGTGTTTGATTGTGTCCTAATATAGGCCATCACAAATTAAATCTACGGAAGAAAATGCTATGAAAGAAAACTTTTCTTCTAAAGCAATAATTTTTAGATTAAAGACACTTTCGAAGAGATCTATGTATGAAGCCTGAGAATCGCAAAACTCTTTTGTTATTAATAAATCCATTATTTTATCAGATATTATTGTGTTTACTTGACCTAAAGATATGTTAGTATTTTTAGCAAATCCGTTATGTTACCAAATTTATTAGTAACATTTATAAATATTTTTGATCAGTAGATGTGCATAAAGTTATGGTATAATTATTGGGAATATTTATAATATCTCTAAATGTTTCTTTGATATTGTTATTGTGTTTACAACAGTTGGTGCTTTTTATATGATGCATGTTTTTTTCTATATTTTCTATTGTGTTTTTAAATTTAATTTAAAAATAGGACTTTTTAGCATAATTTATATTTGCGTTATGTTGAGATAAAAATTCATTGCCTAATATAATTGTACTACTTACATTTTCTATAACGCACACTGGAATTTGATAAAATTTATTTTCTATTTCTAATTGAATTATGGTTGTTCCCAATAAATTTAATGGTGATTTATCTGCATCGGATAATTTATATTTGTGATTTTTATTTATATTAGATGAATCTATGAGGTCAGGCCTTATACAATTTATCTTTGTACCTGAATCTATTGTGAGTTCTATTGGTTCGTTATTGAATTTAGCTAAAATATGTAACGCGTTAACATTTTTATCGTGATTTAGAATTATAAAAATGTTGTTTGTGTCAGTGTTGGTACTTTTATTTGAAATTGGAGAAGAAGGTGAATGCATATAATCTTCAATTATTGCATTTGATCTTGGCGCGTGTTTTTTTGATAGTTAGAATCTCTGTTGAGATAACGATTCTCCCTTGTATGATATCGTTTATTACATAAATCACAAATCAAGTTGCAATTCTCTGATTTGTAATTATTACGATTACATATGTATTTCTGGGAATATAATTATTATTGTAATTTCTATTAGCATATTGTGTATTATTTTGTTGATTACTATTTGCGTAAGTATTGTTATAATTTTGAATAAAATATTGGACGTAAATAATTATTTCCCGAACGTAAATTGTTGTTGTTTCGATGCGTATTATAGTATTCTTACCACGTGCCATTAAATAATTGTTTGCTGTTGTCGGTGTTATCATTATTGTTTTTAGTAATAAAAAACTGAAGTTTAGATATTTGTGAAGTTATATTATCTAATTAAATCGATTATTTCAAAAACAACATAAGTCATCAATTTTTCAATAATGACTTTTTATCAAATTTGATAATTATATATCTGGTTACGTATTCTGTGTAAAAACTAAATTTGTCAGACTCATATTTAATTCAAAATTTACTACAAGAAACTAGAATCACTGCCAAAACTACACAAGTCATTGACTTGAGTAGTCTTTGCTGTCATTTACAGATCGCACTTTTTGATTTTATGCAAAACTTACCCCTACCAAATATACTAGTACAAGACATTTTTATTTAAGACAATGATGGGTGAATTGTTTTGGGATTAAAAATTTGAAAACTGAATAATCTACATTTTACATGTACCATGAGGGTGAAGCTTGCAAGGGGTCCAACGATGTATGCTCTATATTACTGGATTATATAAATAATAATATTAATTCAGATAGAAAAGAATTATACTTGTTTTGTGATGGTTGTCCAGGCCAAAACAAAAATAATACCGTTATACGATTTTTGCTAGCATTTGCTAGCATAGTCAACGATTTGAAAGGATTTACCATTTTTTCTTTTACATTTTTACTTAACGATCGAGATTTTGGAGTTATAAAAAAAAAATAAGAGAGCATGATCGTATATATGTGCCAGATGAATATATTAAAATAGTGAATTAATGCAGTAAAAAGTTCAAAGTAATAAAGTTTCAGATGGATTAAGTTTAGGACTTTAAAAAATAGTGGCCATCATACTACAAAAAGACATGTTTATCTGTTGAGACATTTGGAAAAAAAGTTCCAAAGCACCAAAAGCAATCCTTTACCCATCTACATACATAAGTTTCGAATATAATACAAAATATAAGGTATTCTATTCACACATAATTTTATCGATGGATTATCAAAACACACATTTAAACTATTAAAATTAACAACAAATAATAATATAGCATTGCCAACAGCCAAGGTGTATAATAATAAAATGTCAATAAACCCCCAAAAAATTGAAAACTTAAGACAAGTTAAAGATAGTATAATCGAGGAGCATTAGTTATTTTATGAAGAAATATATAAATGGCTAACTGCTGATGAACAAAATATGGAAGCTGAAAATATAGAACTTGATGGGGAATATAATTATGTACCATGACAATTTTCAAAATATTATGTATTAACGTATTTTTTATTTTTGTTAAGTTTTAATCAGTTATTTTTAATAATTTTATGTTAGTTTACATTTTTTTACATTTTTTTATTGTATTTTGATTTTTATCAAGTTTCATTCAAAAATGCTCTTGTATTGTAACATTTTGTCAAGTTAAAAAATTAAGTTTTTGTTGTTTAAGAAAAAAGAAATATTTTATTTTTTGTAAAATAATATGCATTAAGAAATGTGCAATGATTTATTTTATATTGTGTTAAAAAGTTAAGTTTTGTTTATTTAAAATAAAAATTACTTCAGCTAGTGTAAAAATACTATTACCATTACTGTGTTTATCTATTTTATTTTATTTCTTGACTTAGATTGTATATTATAAATTTCTATTGACTGCAAAAACAACGTAAGTCAAATATATTTTATCTGAATTTTATGCATTTTGGTAAAAGTTAGACTATTTAAAACTATGGATTATAAATATCAGAGACCTTAAAAATAAATTTGTAAATAGGTGTAAGTGAAAAAAAAGTCGATTATCTGGTGTAATTTTTTTTTTGGTTCTTGAAAAATTCGAATTTAATGACTTAAGTCGTTTTTGAAATGACCGATTCAATTATTATAATGACTGGTCGGTTACAACTTTTGGATCAGTATTTGTTAAACACTTAAAGAATCGACTCTTGGTGAGGAGTGGGAGCTGCTGTTTTTATCAATAGTATTTCCCGGCCGTACTTTTTGTCCCACTTATGTACAAAATTGAGAATAAATTCAAAAATAGTGGCCCAAAAGTTGTTTGACCAGTCATTTTCTGAATTAGATCATTTTCTATTTTATAAGGTAGTTAAATATGTATGCTGCCATATAAAAAAATAAAGTTGATACCCCTTTAAGTTATAAGGGATAATTCTAAAAATTAATTATTAGCTGATAAATCAAGAAATATATGTAACTAAGAGAAATAAAACAAATTTTTTTTCAATATTTTATTTATTTTGCGAGTAATCGAGGGGTTTATGATAAATCTATCATCTTGTATACCCATTTAATATAGTAAGTTCTCAATTTTGACACGCTTATATTAGTTTCACACGTATGTTGTTTGTTGTAAGTTTGTAACTCCACGCACCACGTGTTATTATGTCGCGTATCCCGTCGTCTATGATCTTGAGACTAGACTGTCGTAACGCATTCACCCCACCCCGCTAACCACTCGCCTCCAACACTATTTTCCTGTATAATTTTATTTTTGATTTTCGTACCCGTATACGCGTTTGTGTCATCAATTATATATATAACAAATTTTTTTTGTTACTGACACGGCCCCGCGTCACTTCATTATACAAGATGCTTCACGACTCGTGCCACCTTTATCAGCCGTCGCCCTACTATGAGTATTTGGCTGACCAACACCGTGCGTTACGCCGAACAGTGGGGCAACGAGCTTCAAAAGTTGGCATTAAATTATAGAGCAAAAAATATATTCCTAAAATTAATATTATTTTTATTTTTGTCAATCAGACATATAAAAAGACATTTACATAATATTAACTTAAGGTATTTATTTATTTTAAAGACATTTTGACAGAAATAGCTATTCAATTTATTAATAAAAGAAAAATGTATTATTTTAAGTTTTAATTTTAAAATTAGCCATGGTTATCATCATCATTTTCATCATTATCGTCATCGTAATCATTGTTATCATCATTATCATCATCACTATCTTTGACATATTGAAGAGAGACCCGGACATCTGGTGATTTTAGTAATGTAAGTGCTTCAATTGGCATTAATTGTGTTTTTTTCTTGGGCAGTTTTCTTTTACTTGAATTTACTGGATCTGAACCAAAAAAAAACAAATTTAATATATCTAAATTAGTTTTTTCACGACAAAATTTCCTTTAGTTATGCTCCCGATATCTCTTAAAATCTTTATTTCGTGCTTCTTGGGCTTCTTCAGTCAACTGTTGTTGGATACGTATCACAAGAGGGCGTTTTTCTTAGATTTTGTTGTGACTGATAGCGCCACTCGAGCTGCCACTACCGGTTGTGCAAGGGATTCGTCACTCCGTTGCATGCTAGTGTACGCGATTATTGTGTCTCGCCAAACTATTATCGGTTCCTTTTGTGAGTTTTGCGTTCTCGCCAACATTGCTAGCCCTTGCTACGTGGTTCTATGGTGCACCTAGCTCATAGTCGCTTTAATGGGTTAACCACCCTGGTGATTCGTCGTGGGTATAGAATTGCTATACCAGTCTATGCCATTGTGCACCCTTCATGTACATAACAAGTCCACTCCCTATTTCTTTCTCCGGCATAATTAGACAACCCAACCGGACGTTCACTAACCCGCACATTATAACCGGGCTTTCCGTTTAAACAACTGTCCTATTGGCAATAAAGCAGATTCAATTATCTCTGGCCCATGAATAAAAACTTGTGCATTGTGGGTGACATATTGTACCACGGATACTTCTCAACAAAATATTTTGCAGTTTTGTACTTGTATTCTCAAAACTCATTGTTTTTAATTCGTGTCCACTAGCTACAACTATTATTACTATATGTATTTTTCTATTAATTCTATGTCTAATTTTGTAATTTCACCAAAAATTTCTGAATTTTTAAAAAAACGTCTAGCTGTGTTGCATCATTAGAATTTTCAAATCCTGGTTTGGGTTTATCTACAAGTGATCCTATTTTTTCTTTAAATACTTTTTGGATTCTAAGTTTGTGTCCCTGAAACAAATTTTTTTTTCACATCTCCTAGCTTGCCATTTTTTGAGTGGTAATTTGTAAGACAAATGGAGGAGACATTCTAAAAAATCGAATCCACCCACGTAAAACTGATATCCCAAAAGATAAATGATCAGTTTTTACCTCTCGTTTAACCATTTTATCAATTAAATTAAACTCTTTCGATGTTGCACCACACAAAAAACATTTAAGTGTTGATGTCATATCTGTTAGTGCATTACATATTTTTCCATCAACCGTTGCTAAAATCAAATTGTGAGTTACAATAAATGATTTATTATCAAAAGTCCCAGTACTATTAACTAACTTATTTATTTAACTCTGAACTTCTTCTTTTTCAGCTACAGATGTCTTCATAGATTCTTTTATAAACTCAATTTTTATAGGCCTACAATATCTAGTTGATGCAGGACGTGGATTTGTTATATAATTTGGTCACCATTTACCAAGCGAAGTGGAACTAAACTTGTAATAAATACAACCGAATTACTGGCCTCAAGACTACAAAAAGCCTGTTTATATGGACTATGTCCAGAGCTACTATCAAAGCCCCATTTCGAATATAAAATAAATTTATCCAATTCATTTTCTGGGAGTACGTCAATAACAGGTTTTTGCACTAAAAATAATCTTTCTACTGTGTGATCAAGTAATGCTTGTAAAGAAACTTCTGCGTGTGTAGAAGTTACTTGTATATCTTTTGGTTTTGGATTACATTGTTTTTTACTTTCTTGTACGACTTTGTATGATGAAAATTTATCAAAGGCACTCATCCGAATAATATTGTACTGATGTCGAGATAGCTTAGCATCTACTATAACAGCTAGTACATCTTCACTCGATAGTTTTTTAGGTGCTTGTGACTGCATAAATACTTTTCTATATCTACTTGCACGTGTGCGAGTGGATGTACTTATTTCCTTCGGTAACTTTGCTGCTTCAATTTGTCCCGATGCCCTTAAGCTCATCTGTGTTGCATGACTTAACATATTAACAGGCGTCTAATTTCTCAGTTTTTGAGTTTTTTTCCGTATGTTTCGTTCACTACTCTTTTCAAATACAACTACTGGACGACCTCGATTATTCTGTTCATTTAAAGATGAAAATCTAATAGAAGCATTTAATCTATGGGAAGGGGGGCTATAGTCCCTTGGCTCCCCTTGGATCTGCGCCTGGTTCTCTTATGGAATACTGTACATTTCCTAAAAATATTTTAAAAATACTAGATCAACCTTCTGAAAAAAAAATTAAGCAATTTATATTTTTTTCCCCGTAAAATTGCTATACATCGTCACAGTCAGAAGCTAATAGAAGGAAATGGGGAAAATATGGGCAACATTTTTTTTATCAAGGTGATTGAATACTCTATTGAGTATTATATTTTGCAATTTTTAAAGCTTGGAAAGACTTGAAAGTAAACTTAAACTAAATATAATTTTTGTGAAATGTATATGTTATTATTATTACTGGTTATTTATGTATGTATTATGTTTAACTCGGTAAAACCTATGTATAAAACGTTACGTAACTGATCTGTTGTTAACGGTTCCATGATAAATTTAATTAAATAAACAAATAATCTCTAAGGTATAGAAAAAAACTAAAATTTAAAATAATATTATGTTGTTTAATTTTATTCTGTAATACACTGCGGACTTATAACTGCTGTAACTAAATCAATTTAAGCCACAACCCGTGCATGAAACCTATTTCTAATGCAGTATGAACTCCTTTATTGGTGTAATAATTCGATAAGATAAGTTAAATTCGATAAGTACTATTTTTGCCAACTTTTGATGTCATTTGCCTCACTATGCGCCGCAGTGCAAAGTCTAGCAAGTGCTGCATTGCTGACGATGACCCACCGTAAATGAACCGTAGTCTTCTTCTCATTGTCAAAGTGACAACGTCGACGAACCGATCCACACTCGCGTACCGTCGCCATCAACGCTGCTAACCTTTTGTCGCCCGAGGATCACGCCGGACATCGCGTCGTCGACGCCAGCGAAAGTGCCGCGACATTATGCGAAGATTATATATTCCTACCGCCGCCGCTAATATTATGTTAATATTCATTTATATATTCCTACAGCCGACGCCGCTGCCGCTGTATATGCCTCGTGTTTAACGATCCCCCCGCCATGCCCGCCCACAAAACACGGCTATACCTCGTGCATGATACGTTTTAAGTACTTAAGACGCTTTACATGTATAAATATACAGGTTCTCATTGTTACAAACAATGAGAACAATAGAAACCCGTTTCCTGACTTACTGAACACCCTGTATATATATATTCTAATTACTATTAAAACTTATATATTAATACACTTTATTGTCATTAAGAGATATATAGTGTATTCATTCCGATTACGGGGAATGATTCCTGTATCGTCATTTTTCGCCACTACCTTCATGTTGCGCGCCTGCTGCTTTTCTTATATGTGGTAGCCGTTTCTCAGGCTCCCTCTCCGGAATCGAACCCTGATTTCCCGTTACCCGTTACAACCATGATATTGATAGTAACTACTATCATAACATGAAATTAAAAAGTTCAAAATAATTTTTAAAATAAGCTTAAAACAAAGGAACGAAAAGTACTAGTATTATTGTGATAAAAGCGTCAGGTGCTCAATATACGAAAAATATGGCATAAAGCACCCACGCTTTATGCCATATTTTTATGGCATATTTTATTCATATTTTATAAACTTTTTAGTTTGATGTGCTTTAATTGCGTGTTTTTTAGTTTTTTTTAACTATATTTATTATTATAATAATTATCTACGACAGTATTAACTCCCTACTGGTACCGTCACAACAAAAATAAATCAGTTTTTAACAATTTCTCGGCACTAATGCCAGTTTGTAGCGCTGAAGGTATGACCTTGCCGCTAATATGAAACACTATGCCATCTTTGGAGCGATGTATACCAATAGCTTTTACTTGGTCACCCTCTTAAGAAAATTTAACTGATTAGCTATTTTGTACATTAGCTAAAACTTACGATTCATATGATATGAGCATAAAAAGTGTTTGATATTTATTTGATTTTATTGACTATATTAGAAATTTGAATTTTTAATCAAGTTTTTACTCTAGAAAATACAAATTTTCAACTTGATAAACATAAACAAGGTAGATTTAAATATATATATACATATATTTTATTTAGGTCCTCGGGAGTGTCCATACTGTGATGTTGAAATTTCTAGTACTTATCATTATATTTTACATGTCAACAATGCACACTCAGATAATGAAATTTCCACTTGTCCCGAATGTCATGAAAAATTTGAAGCTGGTAGTGTTTTAGAATTACATATTATTCAAAATCATGCTGAAAATGACAAATTAGAATTGGTAACATCTATTTTTATTGTATTATTTATTGATGAAAAAAAAAATTACATCTAATTAGTAATTCGGGTAACGACCCAAAGCGTTTTTTTAAGTTTTATTGAAAGCGAAAATGAAAAAATAATATTATTTTTGTTATTAAATCGGAACACGGAGTGCCATCTGTTCAACTGAGTTCGCTTCCATCATGAATTAATTCAAAAACCTCTCATTGAAATGTCGACTTGAAGATTCCACTTGTATTGTAAAAAAAAAGATATGTGGTAGTGGACTGTTTCGTTTTTCCTTGATCGCTCTATTTAGTGCGGTAAAAGTTTTTAAACGTAACAACAATTCGGCTATTTATAATTTCTTAGAATTTTTGAAACACAAATATAAAGGAACATTGTGCAGAAAGTTTAATCAAATTGTATCTTGTAGTGGAGTGATTAAATTATTATACAAAAAGTCCAAAGGTTATGGGATTGTAGATATATAGTGTTACACCCTAAAGTAATGCCTAAAGAAAGTTCTAGGACGACCTAAATAATGCCGGTCAGAAAGAAGAAAAAAAAGACATACATGATGATAACCCACTCAATATATTCTAATATTTAATTATTTTGTTAAACTTTGGCGGTCATTTACAAATAGAAGATAGGTCGTTAACACATTTTTTCTTTAACTTATACAGAGTGATTTTTTAATCATACTTACAGAATGAATATAATTTAAACATTTTTTTTTTATCTTTAGTTACACATTGTTCTAGAATTATTAACTATGTGATACTTTTTAAGTTCATCCCTTATACTTTATAAGAGTATCAACTTTGTTTTTTTAAACGGGAATACATTTGAATTTAATAAAATGTTTGAGTTTTTAATTTAATAGTAAATGGCATTTGAATTTTTGATATAACTTTATTAGATATAAAGATTTAAAATTTCAAATTTTTGAGTTAATATACATGTATAATACAAAAGTGATTATTAATACAGATAGCTAATTAGTTTTTTATGACATTGCTGTAACAGACACGGAGTGTTTATTGTCAATTATGACTATCAATAGATATACTTTCTGTATTTCTAGTTAGTGTATTTATAAACTCACAACAATGTGCCTTACTATGATTGATAAGAAATGCAGTGTACTTGCGAACATCGACGTCAAAATAAACTAATTAGCAACCTGTATTTGTAATCCCTCGTATATTATACATGTATATTAATTAAACAATTTAAAACTTCAAATGTTTATATTTTATATACTAATAAATTTTGTTCACTGTACTCATTACAATAGTTTAACTTTACAAGAACCCTAAGTAGGGTCCATCATAGGCCGAGGCAAAACCGGTGCACCAGGTTGGATTGGGTTAGGTTTATCACATCTTACAAATACGACTGAATTTTTTAAATTTCTAATTTATATAATTATAATGTTCTCGATAACGTCTGCACAAAATAATGTTTTATTTTATGCTATTGTCCTATTAGTGTACAATATGATCTAGGTGGCTGAATTAGGATAGAAAATTCGATTCGTAATTTCATAATTTAATAATTTATAAAATAAAAAAAAGTTAAGCTAACATATTAATAATAAAAATACGATTAATAATAGCAAAAACGGTAGCTAAGTGGGAATGTATCTTAGTTGGGGTCAGTATAGATGATATCTAAAAGTGATCAAAATCACTATCATAAAATTGCTTTGATGCAAATCCATAGATATTTTTTAATTTCATGAAATTGGTAGATTATATCAAAATCAACATAAAATCCTATTTCCTTAGATTTTTGATTCATAAGTATAAGTTTGATATTGATACTATTAAATAGAAATGTTATAGAGTTTGTATAAAAAATGGTATTTTTTAGATTTATTTGTGGCCGGAAATTTTTATAAATACTATTAACAGCAAATTTGTGAAAAAAGCTTAAAATTTCGATAAAATCATTATTTTTTTTTAAATTTATCCGATATATCAATGAAATAATATATCTTCCGCACGTGGTAGGTTAGTAAATACTAAGAATCGTAGTGGTAAAACCACACAGTCTACTTTTACTGACTTACTAGTCAGGAAATGAGCATAGAAGACTTATGTTGGACCAGAACCAGTGGTAGGACTCACTGAACAATCGCTCAAAGCACTACCCAAAAATTGGTTCAGAAAACAACACATGAAAATCTGGAAGTACTTGGTAGTACCTAGACAATTCAAAATGTTTATCAAGAACAACGGTCTACGGTGATCTTAATAGCATGACTAGACATCAAATAAGCACCCTGACTGATCTACTGACAGGACATGGTCACTTGCTTAACATCTTTACGCAATAGGGGTATCGGAATCACCATTGTGCAGGAAGTGTGGAGTAGAAGTAGAAGACTCATTTCACATTTTATGCGAATGTGAAGCCTTGTCCACACTAAGATCAAACTACTTGAGTAAACATTTCCCTGAAAAAGAAGATATATAAAACCTAAGACCCAGAGATATACTTAATTTTGCTGGAAAGACAGGACTCTTTGACTCCATAGGGGTAAATTGATGGTCCAGCCTTATACAATGATAAGTATAATGTAATCCACCTAAGGTAAACCAAATCAAGACAATTCGGTATGAAGTGCGCACAATAGACCAACAGGTCTGATTGCATGGGCATTATGCCCACCTCAATAAAAACTACTACCCCAAGATTGGGTTAGTAAACATTTTTAAACATCTACTACAGTAGTATTCTTTCATATGACTCTTAGACCGCTGTCTGGAAACAAGCCTGGAAAATATTTTAAATATCAATTATGACTTTTATTGTAAGCATCGATGATTTCGTTTGTTTTCAATCAATTAAGAAATGTAATGACACGCATTAGGTTATTACCCCCATTATCAATTAGATTTGTCATAATTTTGTTTTTCATCGGAGGCGTGGTCACGTCTATAAATCAGTGTAAGTATTGCCTCGTCTCCTTTTCATAGGCAAGGTTTTAATTCTAGTAGGAACATTATATATCTATTACCTTATGAATAATATAACGCGTAATTTATTATTTATATATATCAAGAATATAAACAGCTTGAATTATACAATTCTACGGGTAAAATCTTTATTTATAATTTAAATATTTATTTTCTTTTTATTTTAAAAGTAACTTAAATAGTAACTTTTTATCAACGTCTATTCAAACCCAAATATAACTTCTTCAATATTATTAAATATAATTTCTTAAAATTAGTTTTAAATTAAAATTGAAGATTCATTATTTCAGTAAAGTATTTTTTCGTGTAGATAAAACAAATAGAATATGATCATATGGTTTCAGTGATGACACAGATACAGATAAATAAAGAAGCTGAACAGTTACAAAAAGAGGAAATTAATAGTTCGTAAAAATTTAGTAATACCTAAAACTAATACGTAATATTACAATTTATTAAATGTATATCAAAAACCCTCGAATTTAAATTTGAATAATATGTTTGATATTTTATTTTAAAATAGTCACAAAAATGTAAAAAAAACCTTCTGAAGTTTTTTTAAAACAATTCAAATACTATTTTTTAATTTTGGAATTTTTACACAAATTCGTATTTATTTCTTTAACTTTGATATCCGATTACATGCACGGAAGAATAATAAAAAAAAACAGCAAAGTGGGGTTGCTGCATAGTTAGTATAAGTATAGATTGTATCTGACATTAATTAAAACCACATCATAAATAATTATTCAATGCAAATCTGTAGATTGTGTTTAATTTTCATAAGAAATTATTGAATTATTCTAAAAGCAAGTTTTATGATTTATAGGTATAATCATGGATAAATACTTATTATAACTTTATTATTTTGCTAGCTAATAAAATAAAAAATAAAAACTATGGAGTACTTACATCTACAGAGGTAGAGAGTGAGGTTAGTTTATCATTTTTTTATGATAAATCGCTCAGTCAATAGCAAAATAAAAATAATTTTGAAATATATTTTTTTGGTTACATTTATTTAAAAGAAGGATTTTTTTTAAATAAATTTTTTTAAGGGTGCCTTGTATGTGTTCCCATTAAAAAAACAAAGTTGACACCCTTACAAGGCATAAGGGATGAACTTAAAAAATTATTAAAAACTTATTACATAACTACTAATTTAAGAATAATATTTAACTAATTTAACTAACTAAAAAAAATTATTTTTATTTTATTAATAATTGAGTGGTTTATGATAAAAAAAAAAATTATAATCAGGAATATCAATGATTTTTTACACCAAAATAATATTTTTTGTTCAATTTCCTATATATAAAAAATAAGTCACCACCACAAATTTATTTTTAACTCATTGTACATAGCATAAGTTTTAATTTAATATATCATTAAAGATTGGAGTATTTCCAGAACATTTCCAAAACTTAAATAAATTCACTTTTTATGGAAAAGATATTATTTGAATCCCCCCTGTGACCATTTAATAAAGGATCAATTTTTCAAAAATTATATACTAAATGAAAGGAAAATACCTATTTATATAATTTTATATAATATAATTAAAAAAAAATTATTTTGTTTAGTTCATTTTTAAAAAAGTTATGGTACCTTAAATGTAATTTTTAATTAAAAAAAGGTAAATAATATTGAAAAATACCCACTTTAGAATTTGTAATATTTTGGAGGATTTTCCTTATTTATGGAAAACGAGAAATTTTTTTTCAATTTTAAACGAAAATTTCTTTAACTTAATACGATTTATGATCATTTGACATATTATTGAAAGATATTGATCTAATGAGAACTGAGAAAAATTAGCGACAAACATAAAAATAAAAAACCCAACACAGGGGGTCGTGGCATAGTGGTGACGTAGCAGAGTTGGATTAAGTATAATGATATCTGACAGTGATTAAAATTACTATAAAAAAAAACGCTTCGATGCAAATCTTTAGATAGTGTTTAATTTAAAAAAATTGGTGTATTATTCCAAAAGCTACATGATCTGCATGTTCCTTATTAATATCCTGATTAAGATAAAGTATGTCAAATGAAAGAGGGATTATTAAAAATATTATTTCTCATAAAAATTGTTTTGATCCATACACTTTTCAATATGTCATAGCATTATAAAGTTAAAAATGTAAAAAATAAAATCGAGAATTTTCACACAAAAATAGCATTTGGTAGCCATTTTCATCATGAAGACAAGTTCAGAGGTCAAATTTCTTTTTTCATAATAAAGTACATTACATTACCTTTAATTTAAGATATATATAAAAGTGTCAAACCTTCCGGAACACTTTCAAAAGTTAAGTTAAAAAAGTTAATTTTTTGTGAAAAAGTTGTCATTTTAAATCCTCTCCTGTTGGTAGGTAAAGGGTTAAATTTATAAAAAAAATATACCAAATGATAGATAAAGATATCAAATATTTATAAAAAAAAATTATATTAATATATTCATTTTTGAAAAAGTTATAGCAGTTTTTAGTAAAAAAAAAATTGAAAAAATGTCGAAATTTAGTGAATTTTAAATTTATAATTTTTTTAGAGGTTTCCCCCATTTACGGGGAACGAGGGAAATTTTTTCAATTTTTGAGGGTAATTTCTTCGACTAGATACGATTTGTGATCTTTTGACGTATCATTGAAAGAAATCCGTTCGTTCGTTCGTGAGAGCTGAGAAAAAGTGGTAATAGACACAAAAAAAAAAACACATCATAGTAAAACCAATAGCTTCTCAGCTTCGCATCGAAGCTAAAAACGTATCATAGTAAAATTAATACCTTCTCAGCTTCTTATCAAAAGTAAAAAAGGAAATATTTAATTTAGTTAAATATTTTTTTTTCTATTACTATCGGTGTAGTATTTTAATGTAGTTTATCAAAACTTAAGTATGTATTTTATAATAATAAAAAGTAGATTATAAAAATTTTTGAATGAATAATTTTCAGATAAAATGCTGGAATCACCTACAATAGAAAGTAATATGTATAAATATTATAAACAATATTAGTTTTGTAATGGTGTGCCTATCATGAAAAATATACCAACAACTTTTTTTTCTTTTTAATTCTGATATTTAGATATAACTGAACTCATCTTAAGTCACTTAATTAACAATATTGCCGAAGAAAAACATGTCTATTTAGCGTCTTCAATGGATTTCTACGGGTCTGCTCGCGAAGATATTAAATATGGTTGTAGTTATCGATGCATGCAGATGTTGTTATCTAGTATTATGCTAAATGTAGATTTTAAAACTCATTTAACTAGCATGTGGATAAATTTGCATAAAATGTCAATTTCGCGTACCAGGATGCCAAATGTGTCAATGCTATGGAGGCATTTAGAGGAATGTTGGAATATGGGTATTGATCCTAATGGTAAAAAAGAAACTTATGATACGAGTGAAAGTAAAAATAAAAGTCCGAATAAACTAGGTGCTTCGATAGATGACGTGNAAAAGTCCGAATAAACTTGGTGCTTCGATAGATGACGTGAATTCAGTTTTTTTGGGATTAGGAATTAAGTATGCCACTTTGATGTACTTAATTAATCAAAATATTTTAAATAATATTTTTTAACTAGAAAAATTCTAGAATTATTATTAAATTATTTTTCAAACGATATTTTTTACAGGTTTGAGTATAAACTTTTTGATAGAAATACAAACAGAAATAACTACCAAGAAATGTTAAATTGGTTATATTTACATTTTATAAATATAAATAATCTAAAATATATATCGCCAGTATATCTATCATTTAAAAAAAGTAATGAAAAAAAACCAGGTGATTTTCAATTTTAATAAAATAGTGTTTATACAATCCAAAAATATGTATCATCAGTATATCTATCCATCGCGTATACACAACATTATGGTTTTTTCATTTTTAATAGCAATTACTACTGCCAAGTTTATTTCATTCTTGGTAAATAAAGCTGCCAATTTCCAAATCACTTACCTGTAACTGAGCTGCATTATCAAATTTTCCATACCATCCTCATTTAACTCATTGAAACCTGTCATAAAAATAAATATTATTTAAATAAAATATTATGTTTAGGTCACGCAACGATAGCAATTGGTGTAGAAGTTGATAAAAATAATACAATAATACCGTTAGTTTTGTGTCCCAATGAGAATTATACCAAATTACAAACTAAACATGGAGAGAAAGCTTTAAAATACATTCGATCACCTTCATTTTTACGCAAACGCACTCTATATAGAGTTGGAATAATCATGGGAATTGATGCTACTCTAATTTAGAATTTAAAGTAATAATTTTATATTTTTTATGAAAATTCTATTCTAGTACTATGTTTGTCTAGTCATTTCAATCAAAGCTCATAGAACGCCCGTTAGATAATAGTTTTTTAATTCAAAATTTAATTACATTAACAAAAATCATTTGAAAATAAGTTACTCTGTGATTTATTTTCAAAAATATATAATTTTATTTATAAAATTGGAATAATCTTATTTTTTTCTAATAACTATTTTCATAAACATTGTGCTAATAACGCAAAGTATTATCATAGATAAGATAAATTCAGATGGTGCACATTTTGATTTACTGATAACTCGAACCTGCCTCAATTTAGTGACATCACATATAAGGAATTAATTTATTGTATAGCACATTTTACTATAATTATTGTATAAAAAACGGTAGCACAGTGGGGTCGCGGCATAGTGGAGACATTGCATAGTAGGGTCCAGTATAGATTTAATCTGACAGTGATTAAAATCACTATCATAAGAAACGCTTCGATGCAAATCTGTAGATAGTGTTTAATTTTAAAAAATTGATGGATAATTGCAAAAGCAACATCAACTTCTATTAAAATAAAATACAAAACCCATAATTTGAATACAAAAATAGCATATTTTTGAATACGGTAGCCATTTGCGTATAGAAGATAGGTCGTCGAGACAAATTTTTTTTTTCATTTTGTAGTACATAAAATAAGCTTTAATTTTATATATGTTAAAAGGACGCAGTAATTCCGGAACATTTTCAAAAATTAAGTTGAAAAAGTTATTTTTGGTAAAAAAGTTACTATTTTAAATCCTCCCAGTGAGCAGAATAAGTGTTAGATTTTCAAAAAAAATTATATCAAATGAAAGGGAAATATCTAAGGTTTCAATACAAAAAAATATTATTTTTATTTGTTCATTTTTGAAAAAGTTATGGCAGTTTTAAGTACAAAAAACATCCCGATAAAATGTAATTTTTATCGCAAACATTACATTTTTTTTTAAATTTTCGACAGCCATTTGCACATAGAAGATAAGATGTCGGGACAAATTTTTTTTTTTCATTTGATAGTATATAACATAACCTTTGATTTGATATATGTTTAAAGGACGCAGTATTTCCGGAACATTTTCAAAAGTTCAGTTGAAAAAGATCTATGTTTTTTACAATATTTTAAGTTTTGAACGCCCCCTATATAAGGGGAAATTGTCCAATTTTAATAAAAAGTATGTCAAATGAAAGATGTACTTATAATGTATTTAGAAAAAAAAAATTTGTGCTGATATATACATTTTTCAAAAAGTTATAGCATTTTTAAGTTGAAAATTTAAAATCGAAAATCGAAAATTTTAACACAAAAATAGTGTTTTTTTAACTACGGCAGCCGTTTAAATGTAGAAAAAAAAGTGTCGGGACAAATTTTTTTTTTTCATTTTGTAGTACATAAAATAAGCTTTAATTTGATATATGTTTAAAGGACGCAGTCTTTCCGGAACATTTTCAAAAATTAAGTTGAAAAAATTAATTTTTGTAAAAAAGTTGCCATTTTAAATCCCCCCCAATGAGCAGGTTAAGTGATAGATTTTCAAAAAAATGATATCAAATGAAAGGTAAATATCTAAGGTTTTAGTATAAAAAAAAATTATGTTGATTTGTTGATTTTTCAAAAAGTTATGGAAGTTTTAAGAAAAAAAAGTGAAAAAATTTCGAAAATTAGCGATTTTTAAATTTGTAATTTTTTTGGATATTTCCCCCATTTGCGGGGAACGAGGGAATTTTTTTCAATTTTTAAGAGTAATGTCTTCAACTAGATACGATTTGTGATCTTTTGACGTAGTTTTGAAAGAAATCGGTCCAGTGACATGCAGAAGATAAAGTGTCGGGACAAATTTTTTTTTTTCATTTGATAGTATATAACATAACCTTTGATTTGATATATGTTTAAAGGACGCAGTATTTCCGGAACATTTTCAAAAGTTCAGTTGAAAAAAATCTATGTTTTTACAATATTTTAAGTTTTGAACGAGGAAATTGTTAGGGGAAATTGTCCAATTTTAATAAAAAGTATGTCAAATGAAAGATGTACTTATAATGTATTTAGAAAAAAAAAATTTGTGCTGATATATACATTTTTCAAAAAGTTATAGCATTTTTAAGTTGAAAATTTAAAATCGAAAATCGAAAATTTTAACACAAAAATAGTGTTTTTTTAACTACGGCAGCCGTTTAAATGTAGAAAAAAAAGTGTCGGGACAAATTTTTTTTTTTCATTTTGTAGTACATAAAATAAGCTTTAATTTGATATATGTTTAAAGGACGCAGTATTTCCGGAACATTTTCAAAAATTAAGTTGAAAAAGTTATTTTTTGTAAAAAAGTTACTATTTTAAATCCTCCCAGTGAGCAGAATAAGTGTTAGATTTTCAAAAAAAATTATATCAAATGAAAGGGAAATATCTAAGGTTTCAATACAAAAAAATATTATTTTTATTTGTTCATTTTTGAAAAAGTTATGGCAGTTTTAAGTACAAAAAACATCCCGATAAAATGTAATTTTTATCGCAAACATTACATTTTTTTTTAAATTTTCGACAGCCATTTGCACATAGAAGATAAGATGTCGGGACAAATTTTTTTTTTTCATTTGATAGTATATAACATAACCTTTGATTTGATATATGTTTAAAGGACGCAGTATTTCCGGAACATTTTCAAAAGTTCAGTTGAAAAAGATCTATGTTTTTTACAATATTTTAAGTTTTGAACGCCCCCTATATAAGGGGAAATTGTCCAATTTTAATAAAAATTATGTCAAATGAAAGATGTACTTNTCCAATTTTAATAAAAAGTATGTCAAATGAAAGATGTACTTAATAATGTATCTAGAAAAAAAAATTTGTGCTGATATATACATTTTTCAAAAAGTTATAGTATTTTTAAGTTGAAAATTTAAATACGAAAATCGAAAATTTTAACACAAAAATAGTGTTTTTTTAACTACGGCAGCCGTTTAAATGTAGAAAAAAAAGTGTCGGGACAAATTTTTTTTTTTCATTTTATAGTACATAAAATAAGCTTTAATTTTATATATGTTTAAAGGACGCAGTATTTCCGGAACATTTTCAAAAATTAAGTTGAAAAAGTTATTTTTTGTAAAAAAGTTACTATTTTAAATCCTCCCAGTGAGCAGAATAAGTGTTAGATTTTCAAAAAAAATTATATCAAATGAAAGGGAAATATCTAAGGTTTCAATACAAAAAAATATTATTTTTATTTGTTCATTTTTGAAAAAGTTATGGCAGTTTTAAGTACAAAAAACATCCCGATAAAATGTAATTTTTATCGCAAACATTACATTTTTTTTTAAATTTTCGACAGCCATTTGCACATAGAAGATAAGATGTCGGGACAAATTTTTTTTTTTCATTTGATAGTATATAACATAACCTTTGATTTGATATATGTTTAAAGGACGCAGTATTTCCGGAACATTTTCAAAAGTTCAGTTGAAAAAGATCTATGTTTTTTACAATATTTTAAGTTTTGAACGCCCCCTATATAAGGGGAAATTGTCCAATTTTAATAAAAAGTATGTCAAATGAAAGATGTACTTATAATGTATTTAGAAAAAAAAAATTTGTGCTGATATATACATTTTTCAAAAAGTTATAGCATTTTTAAGTTGAAAATTTAAAATCGAAAATCGAAAATTTTAACACAAAAATAGTGTTTTTTTAACTACGGCAGCCGTTTAAATGTAGAAAAAAAAGTGTCGGGACAAATTTTTTTTTTTCATTTTGTAGTACATAAAATAAGCTTTAATTTGATATATGTTTAAAGGACGCAGTATTTCCGGGACATTTTCAAAAATTAAGTTGAAAAAATTAATTTTTGTAAAAAAGTTGCCATTTTAAATCCCCCCCCCAATGAGCAGGTTAAGGGATAGATTTTCAAAAAAATGATATCAAATGAAATGTAAATATCTTAGGTTTTAGTATAAAAAAAATTTTTGTTGATTTGTTGATTTTTGAAAAAGTTATGGTAGTTTTAAGAAAAAAATGACAAAATTTGTCGATTTTTAAATTTGTAATTTTTTTCGGATATTTCCCCCATTAGCGGGGAACGAGGGAATTTTTTTCAATTTTTAAGGGTAATGTCTCCAACTAGATACAATTTGTGATCTTTTGACGTATTGTTAAAAGAAATCGGTCCAGTGAGAGCTGAGAAAAAGTAGTGACAGACAAAAAAAAAAAAAATAAATAAACACATCATGGTAAAATTAATACCTTTTCAGCTTCACATCGAAGCTAAAAAAATCAGCTAAAAATATTAACAGGATCAAAAGTTATTTAAGTTGTCAGTGAGTGGTGGGCCATTCTGTATAGTACCTCTCTTTTTTTTCTCCTTTTCTTTATTCTTTTCTTATAAATTTATATATATTTGATTGATACATATTATTTAAAAATCATTTAAAAAAATTTTATTATATTATACATGGCCTTTCTCTTTTTACTCTTCTCTCATTTTATTATTAATTTTAATTTTTTTTTAAAATCAAAACCTAGTAGCTCCGTCAACGAGTACTATCCCCGCTTGGCTCGGCTACTAGGTCACTGTTCAGTGTTCCCTTGGACATTGGGTAAATATTAGGCCCTCTGGTTCGGCTGAAACCTTACAGCTTATATTAGTTTCACGTGTATGTTGTGGTTGTGTGTTGTTGTCGTGTTCAGGTACGCACTATAATATTTAGTGCCCCTGTCCTTAACAATATTTTAATCAAAAACATACATATCGAGCTAATTATGTAAAAAAAATATAGTTTAAAAAAACTAAAAAACAAGCTTTTCGTATGTTTTTTTAAAAACATATGAAACCAAAAAGTGAAAAATAAATATACTTAAAAAAAAATAAAAACTTCTATTTTAATTCAGTAGTTACGTTTATACATCAATTTGAAGTTTGTTATTATTTTTTTTTCTATAGTATCAAATGTTAGTCTTTGGTATGTTAAGGACGGATGTAAAAATTATCTTTTTATGTTATTTATTGGTAACAGTACACAAATTCTTTTTATGAAAATTGTATAGTTTGAACTCGCTTTTTACAAAAATGATTATTTCAAAACTTTATTAAAAAATTTTAGAAATATTTTCATATGATTACTACAAGTGTCCGATGGTTGACCAAGTTTAAAGTGATAACAATTAGTAATTTGCGTAATTCTATTATTGATATAATATCATAATAGGATATTCCTTGTTAGGAGATTTGATAATAAATGCAGAAAAAAACATTAATTAATAAATTCACTATTACTGACATTTAAAAATATGAAACATGAATTTATTTAATTAAAAACTAATAATCATAAATTATATGATTTAACAGTTAGATCTGTTCCATCTATATATTTAATTATACATTGTAAAATATATAATTATATGTAAATTGTTACAATTACATTTTATTCATTATAAACATTTTAAATGCTTTAGCCGTTCCATTATCTACTTGATAAACGGTTTGATACTCTGAAGTTTTCAAATATTTATGGTCAAAAAACTTGTATACTCCTACTTCCTCTCCTTTCATATTTATTGCTTTAAAAATACAGTGATTGTTTTCACATCCTCATTTTTGTTTATATATACCTTCCACGAACAATAAGTTCAAAATTCCTGCCAGTATGCATTTTTTATTATTTTTCACACACAGTTCTTCTTTAGCTAAAATACATTTGTTTGAATAAAATTCATTATTTCGATGAATACCAATTTGTAATACCTTCAGTTTAGCAAATATTTTATCAGTTAAAAAAATATTGAAACCAAATATTTGCTCGACCAAAACTAATTAAAAAGTGAAAACATATATTCTGTATATTTATTATTACCATATTCGTTAAATAACAATCGTATTGCTGCATGCATTATAAAATTCTTTCTATAGTTAACCATTAGTTGATAGTTCAGAACCTCTTCATTGTTTACTAGAATTCTAGTATTATTATCATTATACAATTTATTTTTAAATTTTATCGCTTGAATAAAGACGCTTAAGTCAAAATATAATATTATCAAAACAATTATTATTTTTTTTTTTTTTTATAAAAAAAATTATTTATTTTTATATTTCATAAAGGCAATTTCAAAAAAAAATTATTTAAAATGTCAGTACACGGACTGGGAATTTTAAGGATGAATTCATGAAAACGAAATTTAATCAAAAAAATATTTACTAGTTTGTATACAACTGTTTATCAAATTTTCATCTGAAAATAAAAAATTAATTATATAAACATTTTATTTGATTTACATACACTATTGTTATTTTTTTAAAATAATAAATGTTGTACTCATTTATTTATCTGAAAATTTTTATATGAACTATTTAAACAAAAAATCTATTTGTTTATTAAATTGATTGGTTGGGTTGGGTTTGTATAACTATTTTATTAACACACATAATTCAAAATTACAATAGCCAGTGAGCAGTGGGAGAAAGTAATTTAGAAAAAATCAGGAGTTTGAAAAATTATTGAATTTAACCGGATTAAAATACGATATTTAAAACATTAAATGAGTTTTTATTTACAATCGTTGTTAGTAGCATACATAAAAGTGTAGTTTGAAAAATTCATTCTTACTGATATATCTGCCAAGGAATCGCCAAAGTATCACCTTTTCCTTAAATACGCGACTTATATTTTCTTTTACTAGAAAATTTAGAATATTATTTAATAATATTTGATTAGTTATTAAAAAGTTAAAATACACAGTAAGTAAGTCTTATTAAGATTTTTTTAAGATTGGTCTTAGTTAACATCAAAAAATAATTACTAAAGGAATACTTTAATTTTTCATTTATTTGCTTTTCCAAAGTATGTATAGAAATAAAAAGCTATAAATTCAATTAAGTAACAGTATTTTAAATATTATTTTCATTTTATTTTATTAAAATTAAAAAATGTATTAATTTTTTTTTATGCTGAATATTTTTGATCTATACATTTTGCTTAGTTTAACAAAACTGGTATTATTTAAAAACCCATCACATTAGGATTGCAGCATAGTCGGTTTCCGGCATAGTTGGGACGAGTATTAATGATATCCAAGAGTGATTATTTCACTATCTTAAAAAAGGTTCGATGCAAATCTGTAGATAATGTTTAATTTAAAAAAACGGTAGCACAGTGTGGACGAGGCATAGATGGGACAAGTATAGATGATATCTGACAGTGATTAAAATCACTATCATAAGAAACGCTTCGATTCAAATCTGTAAATAGTGTTTAATTTTAAGAAATTGATAGGTTATTTCAAAAGCAACAATAACTCTTATTCTCTTAATTTTATCCCAATTAGTTATTTGATTTTTAATTATAATATATAAATAAATAATAATTATGATTTTTAAATTTATTATTAAATTGATATTCAATAATATAATATTGTAATTTTTACGGAGATATTATACAAATAATAAAGTAGTTGTATATTTCTTTACCTATAACACGTATAAAAATTTAAAGGGCTTGATGCAATACTTTTCAATAAAAAATGTTTGTTACTTATAACAAAGTTATAAGTTTATACAGTGGACTACAATGAACTTTCATCAGAAACAAAAATATCATTTTCTAAATCAACTTTTTGCGATGTTTTCAAATGTGCAATTAGACTTTTTCTATCACTTCTGAGTTTTAATATTAATCCAAGTTATTATTAAATAATAAATATTTTCACTATAACAAAAAACGATTCGATGCAAATCTTTAGATAGTGTTTAATTAAAAAAAATTTATGGATTATTCCAAAAGCTACATGATCTGCTAGTTCCTTATTAATACCCTGATTAAGATAAAGTATGTCGAATGAAAAAGGGAATATTAAAAAATATTATTTCTCATAGAAAAATTGTGTTGATCCATACATTTTTCAAAAAGTTATAGTATAATAAAATTAAAAATGTAAAATACAAAATCAAGAATTTACACACAAAAATAGCATTTGATTTTTTTTTTCTATGATAAAGTATATTACATTAGCTTTAATTTAAAATATATATAAAATTGTCAGACTTTCCGGAACATTTTCTAAAGTCAAGTTACAAAAATTAAGTTTTTGTGAAAAAGTTGTCATTTTGAATCCCCCCCTGTGGGCAGGTAAAGGTCAAACTTATAAAAAAAATATATCAAATGATAGGTAAATACATTATACATCTATAAAAAATTATATTGATTTGGTTATTTTTAAAAAAGTTATGGCAGTTTTAAGTAAAAAAAATTGAAATAATTTCGAAAATTAGCGATTTTTAGATTTTTAATTTTTATACAAATTGGGAGATTTCCTCCATTTATGTGAAACGAAGGAAATTTTTTTAATTTTTAAGGGAAATGTCATTGAATAAATATGATTTGTGATATTTCGACATAACTAATGCAAGCAAACTATTATTTTAAAAATTATATAAAAACTTACGGTAGTGAGTTGTTGTTTTTGGACAAATTACATCTAAAAAATATGTGTTACACAATTTTAATGTTGAATTATACTTAGAAGTTGTATTATATACAAAATGATTTACTTAATATTAAGCCTTTAATTAATCGAAAAATAAAAATAATATTCATAAAATTATTATATACTAATTTAAATTTAAATTATATATTCTAGAATAGATCTGATTTGGACAAGTAAAGTGGCGTCTTAGGTGTAGACCCGGGTGTTTGATATTTTGGGCAGTTGGTAGGAATCTTTATGGGCACGATGTTCTCCTCTTCAATCTAATATCTTTTTTTCCCCATATTTTTACCTATTAATTAAATCCCTTACCCTTACCAACCACCCAAAATATCAGCTATCTGGGTCTACGCCTACGTCGCCACCTTACTTGAGCAAATCAGATCCATTCTAAACATTTCATTATAAACAACCACTTCCGTCAATCGCGTTTCATTCTCATACCACAGCCCCTCAATCTCAAAAATGAACTTTTTATATACAAACTACTCCTCAAACTAATTTGAACAAATGGCATTTAGCTTTATCCACCCATCAAATCATCTAACATCAATAAAATATAAATCTTCCAAATCAAATGCCTCCACCAAATATCAAAAGCCCCATTTTACGTCTTCAATGATACCATCCATAATGATTTCTCTATCCCAACAGTTCAAAATCAGCCAAAATATTTTACAAGCGTTTAGACTCCAAAGCATTAAATTATCAAAAACCCTTGATCTCTGATCAATCCACCCATTCTATCCATAGTGATCCCAGAAGGCTGTATTATTTTATATATTTTATTATCATAAGCATCATTTGTGCTTATTGTAATTAAATTTAGTACAGTTTGAACGATTCCAAAAATAAATTCTATAAAATAAAATTATAAAAGAGTTTTTTGCACCCTATTTTTTTCCAATTGTATTTTAACTTATTTTATTACTTTATATAAAGTAATCAATTTTGGGTAACACTTTCATTTTCTCAGAAAATTTTAATTATTTTTAAATAGAATAATTATTTTACTAACTTAAAAAAACTCTAAAATAATGTAGTTAATATTTTTCATTCAATAAAAATTAAAATCTCGAATTTTATTTTCTTAAATTATAACTTTATAATAAGATAAAAAAAAAAATTACAAACAACTTAGTTCTTTAATTTTTTTTATTAGCTGAATTTTTTTATCTATTTAACACGTATAATGGGTATATTTCATACTAGTAATGTGAACTCCTCCAACAGCCGTCCCTAAAGTGTGGTGTGAGGGAAGTCACACCCTACTTGTCAAAATTTCATTGTTTTTTTTTGAACATTTTTTGATATAACAAGATGCTTCCAAAAAGTAATTATTAAAAAAGTGTCACACAGTTTACGAAAAAAATTCAAATGTTAAAAATTAATTTTTTCTATCTTCTCTATATTTTTAGTTTCGAGACACCGCTTACAATGCTGTAATAGATAAACGGTTCGCCGTAAAAAACATTTTATAAAACCAAAAATGTCAGTATACTTTTATCTATCAACTTAAAAATATGAGTTCTCATTTAAGAAAATTAAATTAAAGTATTTTAACCCCAAAAAATGAAAAAAATTTTAATAACATATTATTATTGTAAAATTTTGAATAAAGCAATTTTTTTCTTTACAAGATAATAAAATTTTCATCAATTTATGAAAAATGAAAATCTTAACCAATTAATTAATACGTATTACCATTTTGAATAATTAAAAAAAAATAATTCAATTGTTAAAATTAATTTTTTACCAAATTCATATTTTTAATTTCAAGACTCCACCGTTTGAGTTACATACATTTTAAGGTATTATGATGAGTACTTATGAATTTATGATATTAAAAAGTTAAAAATTGGGTTCCCCTTAAATTAAGTTGTATTTAAATATTTTAACCGTGATAGGATAAAAAAAGTATTTAAAATTATAAAATTATTCTAGTACTTAGAATAAAATAATTTACCCTTTTACAAAAAAAAAAAATCAGTGTTTCTAAAACTATGAGAGTTTTAATCAAACTTTATTATTCTGTACAATTTAATATTTTAAGCAAAATGGTTAACTCTTAGAGAATGATAAAAAATTTTACCGTAATTATTTCCGTAACTATTTTCGTATCCAAGTGGATCATACTCATCTGTTAATTCAATAAATAAAAAATAGTTTATATTATGTTTTTGAACCCTGTATTATGAAGTTACTAAATTTTTATGAAAATAAAATGATTCAATCTTTATCTATAACATATTGCAACCATATTATGTTATAAAAGCTCATAAAATAAATTCAGTGTATATTATGCAATATATTTATTTATATTTATTATAAAGAAAAAGATAAATTCTAACTATTTGAATGATACCCAAAAAAACTTAAAAACCAATCCTAAATTTTTTTGGTGCTACGTAAAAAATTGCAAAAAGGTAAATTGTCTTCCTTCTACCTTGGAGCTAGATAATTTTCATTCAGATAATATTAATAACATTGTTAATATGTTTGGCCAATTTTTTGGTTCTGTTTATTCAAATTCTAGTAATATTACAAATGGTCTTTTAGTAACATATCTGAACGTATTGATATGAAGAATTGTTATCTCTCAATAACTGTTGTTTTTAGGATCTATCGAATTTGAATATGAATATGACTGTAGGTCCGGACTTTGTTCCTGAGATTTTTCTCAAAAACTGCCGTTAATCCCTTACTCATCCAATCCATTTTCTTTTATCTTTATCTCTATCATCTGGTATATTTCCTACGACTTGGAAAACCAGTTATGTTTACCCTATTTTTAAGTCTGGGATAAGATCTAACATACGTAATTACAGACCTATAACTAAAATGAGTAGTATACCGAAATTATTTGAAAAATTTTTAGTACCAAAATTGTATTACACTTTTAGCTCAATACTGGTAAACGATCAACATGGATTTAGAACTTCTAAATCTACAGTTACTAATTTACTTGTCTACTATTCTGATTTAATGTCTGTTATTTCTAAAGGTGGTCAGGTAGGCGCTGTCTACACTGACCTTAAGCGTTTGATAGTGTTAATTATTCTATATTAATAAGTAAATTAAGTGCTATGAGAGTCGTTAACCCTATGATAGATTGGCTTTCGACTTATCTCAGTAGCAGAAAACAAATAGTCAAAATTGGTGATGTAACGTCTTTTACTATTGATGCTACATCTGGTGTACCCCAAGGTGGGCATTTTTCACCTCTTTTGTTTATAATTTTTATAAATGATCTTGGTAATGTTTTCAATCACTGTAAATATTTATTATTTGCGGATGATTTGAAGTTATATTTACAAATCAACTCACCTAGTGACTTTTTTAAATTACAATCAGATCTAGATAAATTTATATTATGGTGTTTTGAAAATGGTTTACAAATAAATAGTGACAAATGCTCACAAATTACGTTCAGTAGAGTTAAATCTTTTTACATTAATCAATATGTCATTAATGGTTTTAACCTTTCTATAGTTAATCACATAAAATATTTAGACGTTTTTCTGTCTTGTGATTTATCTTTTTTAAAACATATTAGCTATATTTATAACAAAGCGTCGCGTACATTAGTATTCATAAGTCGTAATTGCAATGAATTTCATGATATAGATTGTTTAAAAACTTTATACTTTTCTTTTGTAAGATCTGTCCTGGAGTACGGTTATATTATTTGGTCTCCATTTATAGCTAATGATATTAAATAGATTGAATATATTCAAAAACGTTTTTAACCTCTTTATCGGGCAAATTTAATAAAAATAGGATTAACCAAAACATTTTTTTTAATAATTTGAAAATGGAATCTCTATTATGTAGAAGACTATATTTAGATATAAAGTGGATGTATAATTTACTCAATAACAAAATCGATTATCCCAAAATTTTAGAAAAGATTCCATGCAATATTCCTCGAGTATTTCTTCGTAAAAATTCCATGTTTTATATACCTACCCTCACGTAGAACTATTATAAAAACTCACCAGTTAATCGGATGCTAAACTTATGTAATTCATAAAGAAATTTTGATTTTAATCATGATTCGTCAACATTATTATTATCAACAAGTCGTATTACTTTCAAAGTATAATTTTAAGTGATCTTTCAAATGTTTACTTTATATTTATTTACATTCATTTTGTATTTTTTTTTTTTAAATTTAATACTTATAACTTTAAAGTTTTAAGTTTTATAGTTTGTTATTATTTATATTGATTTGTATTATTTCTGAACTGTGTGCCCTAATGGGCGTAATCATCATCATCATTTTGAATGATGAAATAAATGAATAAAAATAAAGAAGCCTCAATATAAAAAAGTACTTCTTTAACAATTTGATAAATCAACTAATGAAATTCACGGGACTTTCTGTATATCTTTAATATCTTCTAAACTAAGTAACTTAATATTTGTAATAGAAAGGTCGAAAATCCTGTACAGATCGGTGGTAAAGAATCGAACATTGGTGCCTACATGTTGCAACATGACATATTTCCGATCGAGTTTTATAAGCCGCCTACATTTAAATGTATCGAAAATGGACTTGTTTTTTTTTATATTTCTATGAACGGGTACGTGTCCATCCACTAGTAATGCTATGTTGATAAAAAAATGTTAGTTGATATTTTTCGCTTATAAACTGTGTAAAAAATTACACCCAATAGTTTTTTTGGTAGTTTATCTCTTGACATTTTTTTTGTACCCCCCAACTAACTTTTTAATATACTTCTGTTTGCTAAATATATTTTGATTTCTGTCATTGAATGCACTAATTTGAGAACAATCAGGGTGGTGTTTATACCCAAACCTAACCGGACTAACTATTATGAAGCAAAATCCTACAGGCTAATAAGTCTTACTTCATTTCTTCTTAAGACTATGGAGAAACTTATTGATTGGTACATCAAGGAGGTGCCTCTTAAGGAGAACCCTTTACATGAAAACCAAAATGCGTATCAAACGAGGAAATCTACTGATACAGCTCTACACTGCTTAACCACTAAGATAGGGAAAGCTGTGGAGAATAAAATGTATGCAGTAGTATTGGACTCGCTTATTAGAGAGTTAAACAAATACTGTTATACACAAGCCCATGCGGATAACTTAGTTATAGCAGTGGTGGGTAAATTCCCAGACACTAATATAGACTTAGCACAACAGAGACTTAACACTAGTAAGTATTGTCTATCTGTTAATCCAAATAAAGCAGAGGTTGTTATGTTCACTAGAAGGAAAATAGGACTAGGCAGTCTTGACACTCTTACTTTAAATGGACAAGAAATTAGCTTAAAATTTGAAGCAAAATACTTAGGTATTATCTTAGATAGTAAGCTAAAATGGAAAACACACGTTGAATCAAGAATCAAAAAAGCAATGACCACATTGTGGACTTGCAGTAGAGCCTTGAGTAGACATGTGGTCTTAAACCAAGAGTTATGTATTGGTTGTACACATCAGTGATTAAATCTATGATATTGTACGGTGCCCTAATCTGGTCGACCAGAACAGCACTCGTTACAGATAAGAAAGAACTTAGACCCATACAGAGAATGACTGCTATGGCCATCACTGGAGCATTAAGAACTACACCAACGGTCGCAACGGTAGAAGTACTAATTGGATTGACTCCTCTGCAATATGTACAGATGGATCCAAAAAATCAGGAAAGGTGGGTGCTAGAATTTGGGGCTTAAAGCCACGAATAAATGTCAGTATGTCATTGGGCACAACACCCTCTGTTTTCCAAGCAGAGGTGATGGCGATACTGGTAAGGGCTTAGAACCCGCTAGTATACAAAAATAGGAAAATAACTATCTTAAGTGATAATCAAGCGGCTTTGAAGGCACTCTGTAACGATCAGGTGAATTCAAAGCTGGTCCTCGAATGCAGGGAAACTTTAGAATCACTATCGAGGTTTAACAAAGTTACACTAGCGTGGGTACCGGGATACATCGGTGTCACTGGAAATGAGAATGCTGACTTTCTAGCCAGGAAAGAAGCAGAGAACACCTATGTTGGACCAGAACCAGTGGTAGGACTCACTGAGCAATCGCTCAAAGCGCTACCCAAGAATTGGTGCACAGAACAACACATCTTTGTTCATCTTTAGAGGTGACTTTATGGTTGGTAATGTATTAACTCTTAGGTGAGTATACCGAATCAAGACAATTCGGTATGAGGTGCGCATAATGGACCAACAGGTCTGAGTGCATGGGCATTATGTCCACCTCGATAATAACTAAAACTAAAACTAAAAATTTGAGAACAATGTTTCTGAATCTTTATTATACATAAAAACCACTATAAAACAAGAAAATTATTATTTTTCAATTGAAGATTTTTTACATAAAAGTCGACATTTTGTTTTGAATTAGTGAATTTTTTACTGTTCATTGGACAGTGTCCAAACATAAACTAACAACAAGCGCACTATCATTACTGAACTAAAACTCTTATATGTCTTTAATGATGATGTTTTTTCGAAACGAAAATTGCTAGGATAACCTTAATAATTTACATATTAATTAAAATTAACTAAAAATAGTTTTCTAGAATTGAAAAAAAGTTAATGCTTAAAACACTTGAAAGATATTTTCAGACCTATGGAAAGAAGGTAGTTGTTAAGAGTAGGAGTAAAATGCCAGAAAACAACAAAACCTGGTGATGGGATTAAAAAATCATAGATAATCAGAAAAAGCAGTTCAATGTATAGCAGAGGAGCAAAAGGAGAGAAAATTGGACTTGAAGCCAAGGAACAAAGGAATGTAAACAAAACAGTCTATATACTATCATTATATAAGCTATATAAAAAGTGATGAACAAAAGGATGCAAACAAGTGATGATGATGTAAAAAAAAAAATGTAGAAAGAAATTTATAAAAATGACTGATTCATTAGAATGGAAAATGCCGAGAATAGGGAAGAAAGAAAAAGCTGTATGTGGTATTTATAGATTGGGAAAATGCGTATGATAGAGTACTGAGAGAGTTTTTAAAATGCTCATTAATAATAAAAATAGTCCGAATTAGTACATTAATATAATAAAAGATATGTATGATAGCTTTTGTACCAGTGTTAAAAGTGTGAGTAGAGTGACAAAAGATTTTAAGCTAAATGTTGGAGTACACCAAGTTTCTCCTTTAAAAATACCAGTAAATGTACTGTGGTGAATGTTATTCACTGACAATATAGTGGTAATAGGAGAGAATAGCGAGGAAATTAATCAAAAGCTATAGATACACCAAAATAGAGATAGAGAGATGTTATTGAATGCGATATGAGGACGGCTGATAAAAGTGGTCGATCCCAAGTCGTTGAGAAATAGGCGAAGAAATAGATGAAGAAGAAACAAATATTTATCCTATTTCAAAGTAATTGATACCCTTATAATTTATATCCTCTTTTCAGCTCTAAACCTTGCCAAGTCTTCAAACCAATTTTTAGGAGATTTAAGAATAATTTTTTACAATAAACAAAAATTATATTTGAACTCTGAGTTGTATGAATTAGATATTGAACTTGATTAGCTATGCGCTAGAGTAATGAAAAAAAAAATATGGAAATGCTAAAATTCTTAGACATACTTATAACATAATTATATTTTTCTTATAGCTTATTAAAATAAACTTAAAAATGAAATAGATTGAATAAAATATTACTTAAATTGTTACCTGGATTAGTATATATGCTATCTATATCTGTAAATTTATTAAAAATGAAAATTTTAAAGTAGGTGGTATATAGTAGACAATGGAATTTTGGGTTTCGAATTTAAATATCTTGAATAGAATTGATAGAAGAAGGTTTAATATCAGTTAAACTTTCATGTTTGAATAATATATATAACTTTGAATGAATATAGTATTTTTTGTTAATTTCAACTGCATTATGTATTTAAAAACAGATACAAAATTTTTTAAAAATTTTTTAAAATATTGAAAGTTTTATAACAATTTCTGGATAACTACGTGTAAAGAAAAATATACATGTACAAATCTATAAAGAGGGAGGTTGTTAGAATAAGCTAAGTAAAAATGTATCTACATAAAATTTGCCTATTAAAACTATTATACTAAATACTTATACTAATATCGAATTTTCTTTTAAACTTCATATTATGTAGAGAAGATGGAAAACCTATATACAGGGTGTAAATCTTTCGAACCATAGTAATGTATGGGCGAGTATCCTGGTAAAGTGTAAAATAGGACCTCGTTTTTTTTTTTCAAAATTGGAGGAATTTTGGAATAACCCCCCTGAATTTCTCTAAAATTAAAAATAAATCATACCACAATATTCCCCGCGAAATTTTCATACAAATTGAGTGGTCACTTGATTTTTTGTAACTTTTGCGCCCTCCCCTGAACTTTGGGTTCAAAGTTAGAAAAAAATTTCATATTAGTGTGACCTATCAATTTGTATTGTAAATTTACAGGGAGTCCTGTGATGTAGTTTATTTTTAGTATAAACGATTTAATAACAAGAAAAACCGCAAAAACCTACAAATAATGTAATATTTATGCATTTTAATTGCACAAAAAAAGAAGCTATATTTTCAAGGTTATCTAATATTATGTGCAACTTAATAAGTGATTAATTTTGGAAAAGAGTAGTGTGCCGATTACATTAAAATAATTATTTCTAATTATCCTATTGTAATAAGGTTAATAATATTCATTTCAATATTATAATTGTTTTATTTTCTCGACCTAAAAAGTAAAAAATTTATAATTTTATAACAGTTTCAATGATAAAAATTATAATCGGTTTGAATAAATAATAAAAGACGTAATAAATTCATGAAATTAAAAAAATATCACATTATTTGTGGGTTTTTTCGGGTTTTCTTGTTAGGGTCATTCCATGTGAATTCACCTAATGTGTGTGCTGGTATAGTTCAGAAATTTATGAAATTTATATCATAGACTTCTTAAAGGTCATTGACAACAAAAATAATATTTTTTTTTTTATTATTGTTTTTTTACCAGATAGAGCATTTTTTATAATTAAAAACATGAAAAAACAGCCTATGTTCTAAAGCCTATAACTTCACATCCAAATAAGCTATCACTGTGGAACTAGCACTGTTTTACTCATATTAAATAGTACTTCAATTTCATTCTTAAGTTTATAAATTTTGAATTTTTTTGAACATCGAAATTTTGATTTAAATTTTTTAAATTTTGCAGTATTTTAATAGCAAAATTTGAAGGACAAAAAATTTTTTAATTAAATTTTTTTTTTAATTTTCAGTAAACCTTGCATGTTCAGACCGTAAAACGATACAAAAAAAATTATAAATCATTCAAATATTATATGGGTTAAAAAAACATTACTAAATGTTTCTTTTAAAAGTTTCATTTTTTTTTTCTTTTCAGAAACTTTTAGTAATGTTTTTTTAGGATACTCGCCCATACATTACTATGGTTCGAAAGATTTACACTCTGTATATTAAGTAATACTTCAAAAAAAGTTTCGCTTTAGAAAATTAAGTACCTAAAGTTCATCCAATTTCAGAATAAAACGTATAATTATGCAACCATTTATTATATTAGTTTATTTAACTTGTATTATATAACTAAAAAGAATCGATACCTTTTTTACGTAAAACAAATACTACTTACTCGGTGGACACAGCATTACTTCTAAGACATCTATTATAAAATTTTACAGTAATTATATTAAAGATTGAATAAAAATATTAATTCAAAACTATTTTATAAATAGGCAGAAATTTTTAAGCACCCCAAAACGTTTCTAATAAAAAAAAATAAAGAACCGAGAACCTAACCGGAAAATCTAATTATTTGTAGTAAAGAACCAAAACTTTACCAAAAATCGGTTCTTTTAAAGTTTAATTAAATCAATAATTAACTATGTAATCATGTAACTATACTATAAATAACTAATAAGATATTTGAGTGGTTATTTAGTTAAATATTCTATTAAAATATTTTTAAAGACGATTTTACAACTTAAAATATATTATAGAAAATATGCTTATAATATATTAGATTTAATATATTTGTTGGGTAGAGTGTGGAAACAGTTGATGTCCGTCCTTGCACATTTTGTAGTGTTTGTGTACGACCAGTTCAAACATGTTCGCGCCACGTTCGGCCGTCATCCCTTTTTGTTAGTTCCCTTTTTGTACATACAGTACACACGTCTCGCGCCTCTAGTAATCGACAGCCGTGCAATCACTTTCACTTATAGTTTTTTTATTATTATCTTTCATTATTAGGTTTCTTTTATTCTTTCTTTTAAGTTATTCCCCCTTCCCTTTACTTTTTTAAGATTTTACTTGCAGAACTATATATATATATATATAT